TTAGGCTTAAAAATAGATAAAATATATTAAAAAAATAAACTAAGTGCATATATTTATATCTTATTAACTAACAAAAATTTAAAAATAAAAGGAAATTAGTTTTTTTTTTATAAATCTTATAAATGCGTCATAACGTAAATCTAAAATAAAAAAGTAATGGAATTATGATACCATAGCTACAAAAGAAAATCACTAACAAAAAAATCACCACACCAAAAATAGATTTACCTATTTTTATATTGCAGTTAATATAAACATTTATCGAAAATGTAACTGTAAAATCTGTTTCGAAGTACATAACTGTAAAATCTGTTTCGAAGAACAAAAAGAGTTAAAATACAAAAAAAAAAAATTAAACTAAGATATAAATTGCATTTTTAGCAAAATGTTGTCTTGGCTTTTAGTTAATAAAAGCAGTAAGTTCCAATAATTAAACACTACATATTATTTATTTTTAACTATAGACACCAACGAGACACGCCTAACAGATAAAGCTTGCGCAAAATGAAAATTGAGGCAATTTGTATTTTTATTACTGCTGAAACAACCTTTTAAAAAAATGGTTATTAAGTCTGTCAATAAAATTGACAGCAAAGATACATCCTCACTTCTTAAATTTACAAATGTTTTATCTAATTTTTCAAGAATTAGAAGTGAAACTGATACTTCTGTTAATAAAGAAGTTTGTTTGAATGTTCTTGAAGACATCTTGAATATGTATGTGAAAGCAAGGACATTTTTCTATGTCAAGAATAATCTACAGGCTTCCAAAATTAAACTTCCACAACTCAAGTCTAAGTCACTGCGAACTTTACTAAAAAAGAAGAGTACTTATTAATATCTATATTAATAAATGTGTATATAATCAACAATATGTAAATTTCACTTTCGACAATTGAAAACAATTATCTGATATTATCTCAATTTTTAGAACAGCTATTTTTATTACTACAAATGGCTAAAAACATTTTTGTTGTATCAGAATATATATATATATATATATATATATATATATATATATATATATATATATATATATATATATATATATATATATATATATATATATATATTACTAGTTTTTTATTAAATTGTTTTCTTTTCATCAAAAAAAATTCAAAACTGTTTTCTTTTCATTGAAAAACAATCAATCTAATTAGTCAAACAAGGATTTTGCTTTGCAAAAAATTTTAATAAATAGGAGTTGAAATCAAAATATAACTATATAAAATATACAGAGACTTTATTTTTGGGGATAGGAAACTTTACATAGTTGATAGTTTTAAGGCCAAGTTTCTAGAGTCATATTTTTTAGTTTTAGTTTAGAATCATATCTCACAACTAAAAAACCGTTTAGAGTAAACTAACCTTTAAATAAATATAAAGGCACTAATGAAAATTTGCACCCACCTATTAAGTCCTTTTCCCAGTTAAAAAATTTTAAACAAAAGCATTTTTTTTGTACAAGATCAATATATATTTTTGAGAGTATATGAAATAAGCAATATAAGGGAGGGTCAAGATTTAAAATTATGCTGATCTATCATGTTTTGAAGTCATAATGTTTTTTCACAAATTTTAGGTTTTGTTTGCTTTTTTATTTAAAAATATTTATGAATTAAAGTAGATTGTAAAAAATTTAACATGAGTATTGAACTTTAGTATGAGAATCTTATGTAACACATAAGCATTAAAATTTTTTTTTCAATTTTTTAACCCCTTTCCCTTCGTAATCATGTTTAATTATTTAGTAGACTCACTCTAACTTGTACTTGTAACTCTAATACTTTTATTTATATAAACATTTGTTCATACTTACGTCAATAAAGGAAGCTTTGCAAAAAGTTGCGGTGATTAAAGCCTGAAAACAAAATTTTTTGACCCCCTGCCTTAATTATAAGAGCAACAATATTTTTGTACATTTCTCAACTTGGTTTATATTCATTGACAAACTTTAAATGTCATAGTGAAATATTTTAGCGTTCAAAAATTAAGACCTTACAAAGTTTGAACCTTTCTCATTACAAATTTAATTTGGTCATAATTTTTGAACATTAAAAGATTATATTATAAAATTTAAAATTTATTGATAAATATGTCTAGTTAAGAATAATATATAAATTACTTTATTCATAAAAAATATTTTATCAATAGAAAATTTTATCAGGTTTTGGGACAGGGTGGATGAAAATTTTAGAGCTTTTTTGTTCCCAGGCTATATTTGTTTATACTTTTAGAAAAGTATCCTTAATTGACGTAAGAATAAACATATAAATCTTTGGAATTTGCTTAATGTCTGGAAGTTAGCTATCTGAAAGACTAAAAAATGCTACATCTCCCGTGATGTATATTGAAATTGTCTATATTTTATAAAAGCAGCCAAGAAAACTCAATGTTTTCTTTCAAAAAAATGTTTAACATTCAATCCATTTTATCATAAATGCTTTGTTTTAAAAATGCTTTGTTTTAAACTAAAGATTTAAAGCATCTATATAAATTAAATTGAGGCTATTATCTATTTATATTTTTTTAACTCTATTTAATAATTATTAAATTTTAGCCTTAAATTGTCTACTACACTAGTGTAAACCTTGGGTTATGAGCAGGTATTATCATTATAGCCATGATGGTACAATGGTATTATCATTATAGCCAAAATCAAAGATAATCTTTGAGAGAACCAATTTGGCGTTGATGTCCAAAATAATTTTCTAGTGGATCTTGACAAAATCTTTGTGTTAATACATAAGACACACCATTAAAAAATAAAAATTTTATCAACTCAACAGCAGAATTAACAGTAATTTTAATCCCTTCATAGGTTTGCTCCAATAGAAACATTTTACTTTTCTCATTTAGAGTAAAGTTACCTTGACAGTTATTGATGGAATTCAACCACTTTTCGAAATATGGCAAAAATTTTAATATTGTTTTAAGCCATTTAAAACGATAATCGTCAACATAAGAAAATGGGACTAAGAATGACTTTAACTTTTGAATTGACTTCAAAGGATTACTAATATTCGTATCAAAAAAAAATATCAAATAAACTGTCAATCATTGAGCAAAAGCATCTGAAGATCCATAGTTAATAAGGACTTTACTCACAGTATTGCTAAGAACTTGAGTTGCCAATTTGGCGTTTGTAATAGAATAAGATGATAATTTTATGTGATTATATGATAATTTTGGAAGTAGATGTAAACCATGTTTGGTCTTTTTTTAAAATGTCTGCTATGTGACTCCATAGAATGTATAAAACATCATTCCACATGTATCTAGTACATTTAACTGAGCTGGAGCTATAAATACAGTTTCTTGTTGTTTTAAGGTGTGGGGGGTCAGATATAAAGTAATTATACTTTTTAAGACAATATAGAATAATAATTTATTATGTGATACGTACATCTTTTAAACAATAAAATTTAATAAACGTGAATGCATTTTAAAATTTTTTTAGTTAGGATAAACACCATCGCAAGTTGTTGCTATAACTTTAAACTTACATTCCAGTTCACATAAAGCAACAGCTTTCCAAAATAATGATATTCTAAGTGTGACAATAATAGCTAGTGTAAGCATAATAGGGTTAACTGTACCGCGTATCATAAATTCTAGAACATAAGTTGCTACTGCATCTACTTTTTAAATAGTTGAATAGTTTAAATCAACATCACCAAGGTCGACAAATCCTTTAATTACTCTTCTGTGTTTATCCCATACAAGATTTTCTTAAATTTTAATTTCATCAAACAACAATACAATATATTTTTCTATTTCAGTTAAAACTTTTACTTTTGATTTCAATTCTTATACAATATCAGGATTGAAACCACGGTGAGGATGAATACGACTCTTGTAGTCACGAAGACGACAACGACTTGGTAATACAAGAAAACCAATACTAGACTTTTTATCAGAGCGAACATCTCCCTTATGCGCTAGGAGACTTTGCACAAATGTTTAGGCAATTCCGTATAATCATAGGATGATATCGTACAGATGTTGGATTTGAAATTAAGTATTTTTGTTGCCCATTTCAAAGGAACCTTATAAACAGTAAAACATTATTTTTCTAATAGCATTTGAAATTACACTTTTTGTATCATCATCAAGGTCAGAAGTTACTTGAAATGAATTTTTTATAATTTCTTCTTGCATATTTTTTATTTCTTGATTTAAAAAAGCATTTTCAGATCAATAGTTTTACAAAATAAATTTAATTCTATCAGGTGAAGTGAATTAGATTGGGGCATTCAATTAAGCAGATTTTGAGATTGTTTCAGCATTATGTTTTACAGCCGTATGATGTTTATTATTATGTGAAAGTTTAAAAGTTTTACATTCAGTATGATTATTATCAGATTTTATCAATAACAAACACAACATTGGCCTATTAAACTCAGTCTCAAATGTAGTAATTGAAGAAACACTTGAGTTGTACAATTTTGTAAGAATATGTTTTTTGAAAATGTTTGAACCAGAGGCAACACCCTGACATAGTGAGAAAGTTGATTAAAGAGTGATAATATTCAATCAAGTAATATTATTAAGTTAAACTCATATTTGAATTATGTTATATAATTTCAGTTTATATGTTGAGGTTGATTGACGTTGCTATAGTAAATAATAGAGAAAAAAACAAAAAGAATATCTTTTTATATTAGGGTATTAAGTCTATTGTTTAAAGTGACAGTATTACGAAACATTTATAAATTCTCCTCTAACCTACCATACCGACCAACCCTTGACACACCCCCGCCTCCGCCCACTATGAGATCTCATAGCGGGCGGGGTGGGGGGTGTCAAGGGTTGGTAGGGATGGTAGGTTGGAGGAGAATTTATTAATTGTTTCGTAATACTGTCACTTTAAACAATAGTCTTAATACCCTATTATAAAAGGATAATCTTTTTGTTTTTTTCTCTATTATTTACTATAGCAACGTCAATCAACCTCAACATATAAACTGAAATTATTTAACATAATTAAACGAGCAGCTTCTTTATTCTGAAAATTCTTTTTATTAACACCAAATATTTGATTATCCCATCCAGGGGCAACCTGTAAGGACTTTTTAGGGTTAACTTTATTTTGTTTAATTTGTGCTTGATTCTTGTTGAAACATTCCGGTATTTAAAAGTAATAATCGTCGCCTATCTGAAAATTGAACAGTTTCAGTGCACCCACATAAATTCCTTTAATCTGAAAATTGAACAGTTTCAGCGCACCCACATAATGATGCCGGAGCAATCGTTAACGAATTTATCAATACAGGACATATCATGGATAGTGAAGAAGGAGAAACAATTATTCAAACAGAGCACACGGACACTACTAAAAATAAAGAAGATTCAACTAAAGAAAGCAGAAAAAATATTATTGAACTGTCGTCCGACGAAGAATGGATTGAAGAAACTGAAGAAAGTGGATGCTGTGACAACATTACACGAACAAACAGATGCGCAGAATTAAAATTGGACAATTCCGTAAGTAATTATAATTATTACCTATTAAATAAAATGTATTACTTTATTGAATAATAAATAAATAATTTTAGGAACTTCTGTGTTGTAAAAAAGAAATTAAACGCGGTTTTGATTTATTCCACGTTATACATACAGGAAAACCTTCCCATTCAATTTGGTACAATCCTAAAGAAACACGTTGCGAAGCCCTCGACCTTTGTACAAAAACGCATCGAATTTGCAAATACTTTGACGGGAAAGAATCCGATTACAGCGGTACCCTACACACACACTGCATATTGGCAACCTAAGTACTCGAACGAGCAGAAAGATCCTCTGAAGGTGAACACTTGCGAATACGACGAGCTTTCTTTAGAGCAAGACAATACATATGCAAAGGTTGTGCCGACATCAACAGAAAGAGATATGGGCACCACTGCTACACATGCAACGCAAGAATTACGGTTAAGCACGTTACTACCCCTAATTACAACAAGAATGCTGTTGTCTACGTGCTTGACCGTGATTAGCTATGTGAAGGCCCATATCTCCTTTGACTTCGACAATATACAAGAAGAGACAATAACAACACAAAGACAACCACTAAAAGCACAACTCAAATGTAACTTTGCCGACTACCTATTTAAAAACAACATAATGAGGCGTTATTCAGTTAATGAAACAACTATTGGAAGGGTCGAATACATTGACTACAGATGTAATGTTCAAAGACGCGATGCCAATCGATCCACATCCTACTCTAATAACTATGAATTCATCATCTAAATTCGACATTCTAAAATGGCATCCGTCTGAATACCAAGCATTTGAGAACCAATGTACGATACTCTTCTTAGGAACACCGCTACTTAAGATATTCAATAACAAAGAACTACGGGAAAATAATACTTGAGGTCCTGAGTTGTTGTATATGTTAAGTATGCACAAACAAGACAAAGAACAACCGACTGAGCACGTGCTAGATAAATTTCAAGATTATATTTTTTTGTAAACAATTTATTCTTTTAAATAATAATTACAATAATTTTTGTTTCTTTTCTTTGGGTTCCTCGTCTTCCCTAAGTTCAACCTTACCAACAAACATAGTACTAAATGCAGGATATAATATTTTCTGATAACTATTTAAAAATGTTATTTTAGCATTGTTTTTAATACAAGGATTAGCCATAGTAACAGTAGTATAAGTAGCATTTTTACCAAAACGTGATTGCTTAATAGTAGGACGTTTATACAAATCGTTAACAGGATCAACACGAGTACGATCATAAGTCCAATCTCTCTCAAATATTTAAATACGATGCTTTAGACGTAAACGACCTCTAACTGTAGTAGGCATAACATCCTTACCAATATAAGCAGGATCAATACAAAAATATAAACGCTTACAATTTTTATTACCACTAAAAGGCATAACTGTTGGAAGATTATTCTAATAGGTATTATTAACATTTTCAGTATATTTATCACCAACACATATATCGTAATTAGAACGGTTTTTAAATAACACTGATGAATGATCAAATTCGTCATAAGGTTGCAAATAAACATCAAAACATTGCTCGATATTATAAGGATCACGAGAATCAGAACAATAAGGTGTTATAGGATTGTAAATACTAAATAAATTACCAGTATTATACTGTTCATAAGGAGATATACCTTGACGTTGTAAATACCATCTATCTAATTGTACAGGGTTTCGTATATTTTTACGCTTATCATCGCCTTTAGCAACTATAGATCGAGCTATAAGGTTTTTAAGTCCATAATTTGGCATATGAACATGACCAAAACGATAATCACAAGGATAGGTATTAATAATAGACCATGTCTCATCGAAAAATCCATTAGCCTTCTGACGTTCAATAGAGGCTGTAGAATCAATATACTGACCACCTTTATCTTATGACATATCAGTAAATTAAAATGTACGGGACGAATACGGATCATTAACCAAAAACTTAATAGGCTTACGCAAACCAATATCATTTTTCCAAATAATACTGTGTACAACCTTCTCAGCAACATTATTCTTTTAAAAAAATCTTGGATCCTTAGTACTTATAACATTAGAAAAACGAGAAGTAACAGGCTTACCAGCTTTATCATTAAAAAAATAAAGAACTCTCTAATAATTTAACAGAAGGTAATGGCGCAGGTTTCCTATCAGCAGAACTAAGTTTCAAATCAAGGAGCTTTTCATAATCATCTGATTCAGCTAAAGGATACACAACATCTGATATTAATTGATCACCCTCTACATCAAAAAATCTCAAACCAATATTTGACATCTCCAACGGTAAAGATGAATTCTGGGTAGTTTTAAGTTGATTTTCAACACGGACATCCATAACATCACATTCAACAGATTTATCAACATAATATATTCCACCAGTACCCATGTAATATTGATCAGGATTAGTCCACAAATTAGGATAATCAACAGGAAAATAATATACCATCTGAACAGTATCATTAGTACATTCTACACACCAATAAAAAAGATTGTTCAACACAAAATTCATCATAGTACCCTTTGCTACAATCAAAACTTCTTTCTTTAACGAAATCGGGTGATGCGCTGACTTCGTGATTCGGGGGTTGCTCTGCCATTAGTTACGAAATAACCTCTCTGCGACCAACCTCTTCTTCCTCTTGGATGAACGAATGTTCTTCTGTGTGTCCGCACTATAGGCAGCTGCTACATCAACTGAATAATTCCCAAATAATTTGTTTAATATAGTCTGACTGTCCTTTATAACACTCCATGGCATTGCATATTTAGGTAATTCATCATAAAACTTAGGAAATTGATAAGATTCAAAACTATATTTATGCAACTGTTTGGCTATTTTAGCTTCCTTAATATAAGGAATCTCTTTAGGATCATATAAATCAACTTTTCCAGGTTTAAGCCTCATATAATCAGGTAAATCATCCTGTGGGACAGGATGATAATCAGGATCATAATTGCAACCTTCTACACTTTCAGACACCGTACTCATATCAGTAACATTACCTACTTTGAATTAGAATAGTTGAATTAGAATAAACAGAACTAGTATTGGATTTAATAAACCTAGTTGAATTAAAATAAACAGAACTAGTATTGGAAGTACTAGAACGAGACCAATCAGAATCAGAATACAACATATCTTCAAATTATTCTTAGGAAATGTTATTCTTAGGAAACAAAGCTGATTTCAATATTTTACGAGCATTAGGCATATGCATATAAGGTACCGTCTCCTTAGCTAAACCAGCAACAGCTTTAACATTTTTAACTACATTAACAACAGTTTTAGGGTTAACAGCACCAGTTAAACCAGTAACAACTGATTCAGCAATACGAGCAGCTTCTTTATTCTTAGAATTCTTTTCATTAAGACCAAATATGTGATTATCCCATCCAGGGGCAACCTGTAAGGACTTTTTAGGGTTAACTTTATTTTGTTTAAACTGTGCTTGATTCTCGTTGAAACCTTCCGGTAATTGAAAGTAATAATCGTCGCCCATCTGAAAATTGAACAGTTTCAGTGCACCCACATAAATTCCAAAAATCGCATGCAAATAGGTTATGATCACACATTCATTATATAATGACTTACAAGCTGTACGGCCACACAAATCACAATGTGTAACCGATACCAACGCTAACAACATCAAAAACATTTTACAATATAATGATAACCACACCTTATATACACTTTATAATCGGATTACAAAGCAACAGTAATACGAAACATTTATAAATTCACTATTAACCCACCATCCTTCCAACCATATAACTATGAGATATTATGCCATTTTTATGTTAATGGAAACCATCCCACCGACCACGTGGGATCCCACGTGGTCGGTGGGATGGTTTCCATTAACATAAAAATGTTTCAGCATTAAATTTTACAGCCGTATGATGTTTATTATTATGTGAAATTTCAAAAGTTTTACATTCAGTATGATTATTATCAGACTTTCTAAAAAACAAACACAACATTGGCCTATTAAACTCAGTCTCAAATGTAGTAATTGAAGAAACACTTGGGTTGTACAATTTTGTAAGAATATGTTTTTTGAAAATGTTTGAACCAGAGGCAACACCCTGACATAGTGAGAAAGTTGATTAAAGAGTGATAATATTCAATAAAGTAATATTTTTAACTGATTTGTTAGTAATTAGAATATATCACATGCTTATCTGGTAAGTTCCGAGCAAAAGATCATATTGTAAATAATAGGCTAGGTTGAATATATACATCATATTGAGGTTGAAGGTGAATATTATCTAATTTGTTAACTTTGACAAAATCTTTTGATATAACAAGTTCCCATGATACCATCATAAGGGTCCCTGACCCTGCTAACACAATTTACAAATTCTGAACACGATTAATAAAAAGAATGTACATCATTTTGATTATTGTCAATTTCACAGCAATCTATTTTTAACTCAATACTTAATGTTGGAAGTTCAGATATTGCTAAGGAACTAAAAAAAAGGAAAAAGAAAAAACAACTTTAAATGAAAATAAAAAAAGAAAAAATAGATCTTTTTAAAATTTTTACCTAGATGTTTGAACACTCCTTTTAGGTAAATCTTTTGAAGGTAAAGATCTTTGTAAAAGTCTTGCTCTAGCTAAATCAATAAAAAATGTTATTTCAATATTTTTAAAACAATGAACTAATAATAGAGCTTATTAATAATAAATAATATATATAATAACTAATATTTGTAAATGCTATCAGAAATATAAACATATAATTAAATACAAAGATAAATATATATATATATATATATATATATATATATATATATATATATATATATATATATATATATATATATATATATATATATATATATATATATATATATATATATATATATATATATATATATATATACGTATATAAATATATACACAGATATATATATAAATATGTATATATATGTATATATATGTGTATATATATATATATATATATATATATATATATACATATATATATATATATATAAATATATATATTTATATATATATAAATATATATATATATATATATATATATATTTACGTATATATGCATTTACATATATATAAATATATATATTGGTATATATATATGTATTTATATATATATATGTAATTATATATGTATATACACACACTTGAATACGTGAACCCATAGCTTACATCTATTAACTTCGTGATCTTCAAAATGCTTTTAGCATACATGTTAAGATTCGCTTGCAATTTGTTTTCTTAATGCTGAATCAATCAAACGATCTTTAGTGATGATCTCTATCAATTTTCTTCACTATTCAACATTATAGTCATTCAGACCTATAAGATTACTGAAAATACCTATACTGTTTAAATAACGAGAAGTAGTACTACCATATATTGAACAATTCAATCCATGCATCGAACTTATAGCCTAACTTCAAAAATTGTTTGTTTTGCACCTTAAAGTAGGCTGGGTACAAGAACCTAACATCAACGCAGAATTTATTGTTACCTGGCCATGTTTCCTGACTATTCATTTATTGAACTATGAATCGTATTATTCGTTTGATATGAATAGATTTTGACACATCTATGCATAACTAAACTTTGTGGGACATTAATCAGCCATATATATTTTTAGTCGGGTTTGATTCTAAAACTAACTTTTATGTATTGTTGTGCATTTTCGGTTCTTTCCATTAGATATTTTTTGTTCGAAGATAGTCTAAATTTGTGTTTTCACACAGTAGCCCAAGTTTACAAGTATTGTGTGTTAATATTTTTATTAACAATGCGTGTCTGTACATACGTAAACACGCATTACACATAAACTCGGGCTACATCTTTTACTCAATTCTGCTAGCATTCACTCCTAACATGCATGTCTAACATCGAGTTCAATAAATGTCTGCTTAAATGCTATCACTTCAACTCCGCCACTCTCGTAATGCTAAATTTAAGACTAAATTAAAATTTAACGGAGGTTTTTATTTTTTACTAACTTTTTTTTACAAATTTCCGTTATAAGGTATCTCAAGTGTACTAAGGCGGGAAGCCAGTTTTTTTTAGAAAAAAAAAACGATAAATATAGATAAATCCGATTGGTTGTCGAAATATATAATTTATGCGTACCGAATAAAATAATTACCGATTTACCGAATAAAAAAATATAAGGTTATGCAAACAATGATGGTTAAGAAGTTAAGAAGTAAAATACCATTAAATATTTTGTGTTGCATTTATAATCAAAATCAAATTAATCAAAGGATTTCTCGAAATATTGAAATACTTTTATAACAACGAGTTTAAAGTAACTTGTGTGTAACACAAGTTATACTTTATTTAATGTTATTAAAAATTCATTTATATGTAAACAGTTGCTTATTATTCTTGATGCAGAAACTGAACATTATTTATGAAGGTACTTATATTATTATAAGCAAAAAGTCTATAAGTTTTTATAGTTATTTAAACAAAAAAATTTTAAGAATTGTTTTTTTGAAAATGCATTATTTTAGTTCTTTTTAATATAAATAAATATATATATATATATATATATATATATATATATATATATATATATATATATATATATATATATATATATATATATATATATATATATATATATATATAGAATAGAACAGAAAAGGTGCTGGACACACTTGAGGTGTGTAGAGTCTTAATTACGTAGAATTAAGACTATGACAGCCGATTACAAAAATTAGTGTTCCGAAACCGAAATAATTATCAATACTGTTTTTAAAAATGTTCAAATTATCTTTATCTAATATCCATTGTGGAAGAGAATTCCAATCATTTATAACTCTGTTTGTAAAGAAATGGTGACGAATTCTTGATTTTGTAAATTGTCTGCGTATTCTACAATTGTTACTTCTACTAGATCGCTCCAGCTCAAAATTTAAAGGAGGATGGTGAAAATTAACAATATCTTTTCCTTTTGAGATCTTATACATTTGAATCAGATCACCTCTTCTTCTTCTATCATATATATATATATATATATATATATATATATATATATATATATATATATATATATATATATATATATATATATATATATATATATATATATATATATATATATATATTTATATAGATTTAAAAATATATATATATATATATATATATATATATATATATATATATATATATATATATATATATATATATATATATATATATAGATATATATATATATATACATACATATATATATATATATATATATATATATATATATATATATATATATATATATATATATATATATACATATATATATATATATATTATGGAAGCCGAGAAAGCTCATCACAAAAATATCTTTCAAATCCAGAAAAATTTTTTAAATCCAGAAATATATTTTAAATCCAGAAATGTATATTTTTAATCGCAAAATATTGTTTAAATCGCGAAATATATTTTAAATCCAGAAATATATTTCAAATCCAGAAATATATTTTAAATCTAGAAATATATTTTAAATCCAGAAATATATTTTAAATCCAGAAATGTATATTTTTAATCGCAAAATGTTGTTTAAATCGCAAAATATATTTTAAATCCAGAAATATATTTTAAATCCAGAAATATATTTCAAATCCAGAAATATATTTTAAATCCAGAAATATATTTTAAATCCAGAAATATATTTTAAATCCAGAAATGTATATTTTTAATCGCAAAATATTGTTTAAATCGCAAAATATATTTTAAATCCAGAAATATATTAGAAATCGCAAAAAATATTTCAAATCGCAAAATATATTTGAAATCCAAAAATTTATGTTTAAAACCCAGAAATATATTAGAAATCGCAAAAAATATTTTAAATCCAGAAATATATATTTTGAATATAATACTTTCACATGTTTTGAAAAACAAAAAGCTGATAATAATAACAAACAAACGAACAAAAACGCAGTTTTAGTAAATAAACAATTAAAAGCGATCAAGTGATAAAATGTTTGTTAATTTTTGTTTTTGTTGTGGAAGAAAATATTTATTCAATACTGAGTTTTTTTGCCCTCGGTGCGGGGAACGAAGGAAACGATCAGAGGAAGAAACATCAATTCAAAACAACTTCACTGAAGAATTGATTAAGCATTACTTTCACAAAGGAATGCAATTCAAAAAAATTGTTTTCCTGTTAAGTCGCTACCATGGTTTGGTAATTAGTGTTAGTACATTAAAACGTTATTTAAATAAAATGGGTTTAAAAAGAAAAAATAAATTATTTGAAAACACTTCGATTCGCCGCCTAATAGAAATAGAGGTGCAAACCTTTGCCGGAATTAAAGGTTACCGCAGTATATGGCACACATTACGCATAAGTTACGGTATCTCCATCAACAGAGATGACGTCATGAACATCCTCAAGCAAATTAACCCTGCGCAATCCGAAAATAGGAAACATTGTAAACTAAAACGAAGAGTTTATAGTTCCCAAGGTCCAAATTTTGTGTGGCATGTTGATGGCTACGATAAATTAAAGCCGTATGGTTTCCCTATTCATGGATGCATTGATGGGTTTTCTCGTAAAATAATTTTGTTAAAACTTTGCCGAACAAATAAAAACCCAGTTATTCCGGCTCATTTCTATCTTAATGCATTGAAAGAATTAAAAGTGTGTCCAGATACTCTGAGAATTGATTGCGGCACAGAAAACGGTATTATTGCAGCAATACACTCCTTTGTACATAATGATATCAATGCACACAAGTACGGCAGTTCGCAGTCTAACCAAAGAATTGAAAACCTATGGTCGAACTTGAAAAGGACATATACAACATCTTTTATAGAATATTTTAAAAGAATGGTTTTTAATGATGATTTAAGACTTGGAGATTGTTTCCAAATGGAATGCGTTTGGTTTAGTTACTCTGAATTAATACAATTTGAGCTTGATAAAATGAAAGAGGAGTGGAATTCCCATAATATTAGAAATACCCGACATGCAAATGTTCATGGGATACCAGACGAAATGTTTTATTTACCAGAGCTCTATAACTACCAGCAATGTGGAGTAAATATTAACGATGACATTCTTTCCGGAATACTAAGTCAAAGAGATATTCACGCTGAAGCCTACGAAATTTTGAATAAGAGCGACTTGCAACTTGTTAACTACTTTAAAGACGTAGTAAACGAAAAAGGACTAAAAATGCCGCCGAGAAACTGGGATGAAGCAAGAAAAATTTATAACACAATTATTTATCAAGCAATATAGTTTCGTGTTTTCAACTATAAATATATAAAAATACACAAACAAGCTATATAAGTATATATATACATATATATATATATATATATATATATATATATATATATATATATATATATATATATATATTTATATATATATAAAGTAAGAAATGTCTTCACGCATTCAAATAAGTCCAAAATGGTAACCGTTTTTTACAGCTAATGAAAGTGCTTCCTTCATAGTGTTTTCTGTATTTTTATGAACTGGCAGATTTAACTGTATGTCACAAGTGCTGACTGTTGGTAAACATTTGCATTCTTTACCATTATTTGTTAACGGACATCCATGAACAAAAACTATAGAAATATCTTTTGGAAGCTCTATTGCGGGAATGGACGGCAAGCCAGTCAAAAACTGCAAAATATCATTTGATGAAGGATCCGCCAGTTCTAAATAATAAAAATACATAATCTGCTGCTTTGTTTTTGAGAGTATTATAATAAATTTAACAGTAAAAAGTGTCAATACCAGTATTGAAGCTATACTCAACAACATCAAGAAAAGCTTTGTATGTAGAAATTTCAAATGATTTTTTGTTCCCTCCGGATTCGCTAAACTGCGGTTTTAACAAAAGTATAAAATCATCAAATTTCCATATAAAACTTTCGTTTGCACAAAATAAAACTCGCATGATATTTGAATTTTTTTTTATAACTTCATAAAGGCCATACACTTGCAAACCAATCGCAATTTCTCCAACTACAGGTAAAAGTTGCTCTATTTTTCCTTTAATTAACATTGATCTAATGAAAAAAGAAAATAAAAATCGAACATATGAAGATATTTAAAAATAAGTTAAATGAATTGAGGCTAGAGGTTTATTAAATGATGAAATAACAAATGATCTTTGAAGATCCTAATTGATTTATTCATAGGGTATTATAGGTAACTATTGACTTACTCTAAAAGAGCATGTTTATCATCAATAGACGATTTTCTTGGATCACTTCTATATCCAATTATTTCAAGTGCATCCATTCCTTCTTCAGTACATAGCACATTAGTTAAATAGTCATCTGTAGTTGCAAATAAAATCTAAAAAAATTTATATTAATTCAATTTAAAATTAAATAATATTATTTAATAGATACACCATTTATAATTTAAATCAATTAGATTTTATTTATAATTTTTATATATTTTTATTTGTCACAGAAATAGCAAGAAAATGAGATATTTTACCTTATCAAAAATACTTTTAAATTTGAAGATTCATCTAAAGCCTTTGGACAACACCGTACTGCAGTTGAAATGCCATTCACCATAAGCTCATAAACCCAAGGAGTCAAAAAAAAAGGTGCAGGTCCGCCATTCACAATAGATGCTGCAAATAAATGGCCTATAGTTTTTACTGTGCCATCTGCAACACTAAGAATACCACATGATGGTACATAGCCAACCAAATCATCGCCAGTAAAGAACCTAATTAAAAGCTTCTAAATACAAAAATAAATATTGTAAAGAAAAAAACTATAATTCTTGAAGCATTAATTTTAGTTTATTAATTAAATCTTAAACAAATAAATTGCAAATTATAACTGTTAAATTGTTCTTTTATTTTTGAGTCAAAGTTATAGAAAACACTAAAATTATCTTAAGAATTATATTTTTGAGAAAAGATCAGATACAAAAAATAAAAAACAATTAGTCAAAAAAACTTTAAATAATCAACCAAAACTTTTAAAAAACAACAATTAACACTATTGATACATATAAACAGAGTTGTTAATCCTCAGGCTTGCTTTTAATTAAAAGAATTAATTCCTTGGTCATGAAACATTTTAGCCTTGTTGTTTGCTAAGTAACATTTAACATTAGCCTTGCTATATTTTAGCCTTATTAACAACTCTGCATATAAATTTAACCTGAATAGAATTTTCGAGACACTCCACCTGTATCGATAGCAGGCTCACCAACAAATGAAAACTTGTATAAATTGTGGATTTTATCCTTGTTCCAACTTTTGGTAAAAAATTTGTGGAAGTCTTCAAATTCAAACTGACGACGAACATTTATTCTGACATCGCCATCATGTATATCACTGAGTTGTTTTATTAAAACTGGAATCTTTTTTTTAAGATCATTTATATTCTCAGGTTTATCAAAATCTTGTTCTTTTTCATAACTATTAGTCAAATCAATTAAGTCATCAGAATCAATCAAATATACCATTTGCTTTTCTTTATTTTTTAAACAATTATCTGCATGTTGTTCAAGCACTGAAAAAGGAAACCTTTGATTACATACAGGACAAAGACCGCAGCTGACGCCTGAACTAGATTGACTGGCTGTTTGTTGTGAAGAAATATCTTTAAAATTTTTTACAGATTTACTGTCAACAACACCAAAATAAGAAAATGATTGATTATTTTCAATAGATAATTTTTCTGGAAAATCTCCAAGATAATTATTTGACAAAGTGTTATTATTGAAATCTTCACTATGATATTGAAAACAGAAGTTATCTAAATCCGAAATAGAGCTGTCATTGTTTAAATCGGTGACTTCTTTATTTTCTAGATTTAAAATACTTTGCTTACACAGATATAAGTCTATCTTTGAAAATGGTTTGTTTAAACTTTCTTTATACTTTTCAACTGTAAACAAAGAGTTAGTGCCTGGAACATATTCAGCTTTTTTTTTATCAGGATATAGTAGTACCCAGTTATCGTTATAACAAAAAAATTGGTTATGATCTGCATGTTTTCCACAAGCGATTTCAAAAACCATCTTTGCATTACCTTGCCTTGGGACATGTATAGGCAATTTACTTCCCCTCACAATGTTAATTTCATCTTTACCATTATTTTTCATAATACCAACATTTATTGTTACATTCTCAATAGAACGACTTTTTTTTAGAGAGTCATTGGAAATTATCGGTGCAAAAGATTTTCTTTTAAACCTAGATTTCCTCTCGACAGTTTTATACTTTTGAAAGTCGCTAAGAGCAAGTTTTTCATTTATGCGAATATTTACTTCCTCTTCTTCTTTAACCTTTTTCTTATTTCCACAAAATGTACAGAAATTGTCCTCAAGCTTTAAATTAGCTCCACATGAGGCACAATATAACGCCATTTTTATAAAATTCACATATGATAATTTGAAAATATCGCGATTTGAAATATATTATGCGATTTGAAATATATTTCTGGATTTAAAATATATTTCTGGATTTAAAATATATTTCTGGATTTGAAAGATAATTTTGTGATGAGCTTTCTCGGCTTCCATAATATATATATATATATATATATATATATATATATATATATATATATATATATATATATATATATATATATATATATATATTTATATAAATTATATAGATATATATATTTATGTATATATGTAATATATATAATATATATATATATTTATGTTTATATATATATATATATATATATATATATAATATATATATATATATATATATATATATATATATATATATATATATATATATATATGTATAATATATATAATATATAGTATATTAATATATAATAAACATTAAAAGTTCATTTTACTGGCAAACGTTTACAATATCCTCTACTATTGATACTCATATGTTCGAAGTCTTGATTAAAGGTTCTTCTCCTTTAAACTCTTGAAGAAAATTAAGGTAAATTACCAAGACATTTCCTATATCATTCTCAATTTTTTTTTTTTCTGCTGGTATTATTTGCTTGTTAATAAAGCATTTTTTCCAACATTCTAATAAATTTGTTGTTTCTAATTTTATTGAAGATGATCTAAAATGCCTTAGTTGAAGTAATGAATCATTTGGCCTTGAATCATCTCGAAATGTTATTCCTTTATTGGTTTCATACCACCATATATATTGCTCACAAATATAGTCAGATATTCTTTCTAAATGACTTTGCCATGCCCAAGGGTATTTTTTGATTATCCAAAAAGGAATATGTGATTTTTTTCGTTCAAAATGTAAGGCACTCTTACTTACTTGGTGTTGATCTTCTTGATGATTGGAATATCCTTTATTAAATAAATGACGACTTTGTAATCGTAAAAGGCTATTCTCAATAACATGATCATTAAGGTGGTTTGTTGTGGTTCTATTGATAGTTTTTAACTCATTAAAAGTGCGCTCTTCTTCTTCTGTATTAGATGAGATTCCAGACACTATTTTTAACATTTGAGGACCATGAACAGATTATGCATGTAAATATTTTCCATACAAAACTCGCATGGTAAGTGATCTTGGTTTATCTTTTACCAGTTCTTTCAAATATATTAAGTGAAGAAAACTTTGGTTATGAAGGAAGCAAATGTTTTCTATAGACCTTGCTGATTCATTGGAGTATAAAATGCTCTGTATATTAACAATTGTAGATAGTAATTTATATGCTAGTTGATCAATCTTACCCTTCAACACCAATACTAATTTTAACAAACTTTTTCTATAGTCGACTCCACGCTTGCACTCTTTGTTATCAAAAGACAAGTTAACCATATCTTTAAAATATTTTTTTTCATCTTTACGGAGATGATTGCCTATTTCATCATACAAGTTTGATATATGACCTTTTATATCATGTACTGGTTCTCATGGTAAAACTTCATATCTATCTAAATTTAAATCTTTCATTGCTGTATTATCTTCTTGGTATAAAAGAGCTGGCAATCTTTGAATGCCATGCATTTCTTCATCAAGTTTAATTTGTAAACTACTTTTATTTTCTTTACAAAAAAAGCGCTTTCCTCTTTCGTGTAATTCAGTTACTTCTTTAAATTTTTATAAAGTTTATTTCGATTTTGGCGTATTTTCTCCTTGCTGCAATTAGAGATCAAGATTTTGTCGATTCTGTCTTGAACACTGAATACTGTTTGGATAAATGAATGAGTTATATTTGCAGATTGGTGAATGTTTATTGGACACATCCAACATGGATATTCACCCCCTTTTTGTTGACCAATCTCTAATTGACAAGCTGGGGCGTCACCATGAAAAAATCTCATCTCATCAAATAATAAAATGCCATCAACACTAATTGGATATTTTAACAACCGATTGTCCTCATTTTTAGTTTTTGTGTACAAAAGTTGGGCATCAGAAGATTGACAACCTGCCAACATATAAAGTTCAGGTTTTTCAACAATTGATTGGACATTAAGTTGCTCTTTATATTTTGTAAAATATTCATCATCTTTTAAATATATGGCTGGGTCATATAAACAGTTAACCATGAATAAAACATGAGCGTGGTTGTTAATTGTAGAACCATCATGCCATAATTGAAGGTGGCGTTTACAATTGAAACTTTTCAATTTTTGTAACAACACTCTGTTGCTGTGTCCATACTATATGAAAATTCATTAATTTTAGTAAGTTCAAAGATTATATCTTCTCTTGACATATTTTGAAATTCGTCAGTGCTGTGCAATCTAAAGAACTTTTTATGTTGCTCCGCAAACTATTTCCTTATTTCAATTAAAGGGATTTTCCTTCCATAAAGCTCAGTTAAGGTTTTTTCATATAAATTATCATTATTAATTTTTCATATTGCTAATGATTGTGGAGTTATTAGTTCTCCTATTGTGTAATCTCCAGAACTTATTTTTGTTTTCATATTTTGTTTAATTTTTTTATTTGTAGGTTCTGTTGGCATTGACACTTTAGTTCCATTAATTCTTCGTTTTGATCTCCTTTTAATGCTCTTACCTTTACCTTTGTAGTCAAACTTATTCAAATCAATGCCTTTTTTTTCGAGAAATTCTTTAACTACTTGACCACTGTTTGAAGGCAAAGCACCAGCCTTATTTTTCATTTGGAACTTTTGTGATAGTTTAGTAAAATTTATATATGTTCCTATTTCATATTTCTCAACTTCAGCAAAACAGTCACTGTCCAACCAACTATACGAACCTATATGATTTTTTCTAGTTTTATTTTGCTTCACACTTGCTCGTTGTTTTGCATGTTCAAATGTTTCAAAACTTTGACTTAGTCTCAGTTTTTTATGTTTAGCAAATGATATTTCTGTTCCAAATAACCTAAATAAAATAAATATTTGTTGAACTAATTTTGTTAAAAATTATTTTAGATAAAACAATTTGATAAAATGAAAATACAACACTAATGAAAAATTTAAAAACTACAAGTCTTAAGCAGTGGTGTAACTTCAAATCCCCCAGCTCGCAACATTTTCAAAACGAGACCCACATCCCCCATACAACCTAAAAATAGCTTAAAATAGGCCCCTCGCCCCCCTTATAATCTAAAATAAGCTTTAAAAAGGGCATTATTTTGTCAGCCCATACCCCCTTTTATAGTTTTGTTACTGGTCTTAGGGCTTAGAAAATTAATAATAAAACTTTTAGTTCAAATAAATAATAACCTGTTAACTGCTGTTTCTTCTTAATGTTTATCTATACTTGATTTGAATGACCTTGCATAACTATTTTTTTGAACCATAACTAAACTTTTTGAAGGTTTAGCTACAAGGGAGCTCTTTGGAATAGATTGCACTACACACTCAATTGGAGTAAATGGAAATTTTTTCTTAAACTCGTTATCAGCTTTTTTTAAAAGAGTTTTGGCATCAGCTACCATTTTTAACTTTTCTTCGCCTGACTGAGATAATACTAATGCTGCTTTTCTTCCACAAGTGATGCATTTTACTGGAAATAATGTTAATAAATGTTTATAGATTTTACTTTTGTTACAACCCTTGCAATTTGAAAAAGAGTGCTGATATTTCTCCGTTTCTCCTAGTTTATTCCAGCTTTTGCTCGAAAACGATTCTAATATTGTATGCTTGTTTGTTTTGCTTGATTTTCCTATAGATTAAATTTGATTTTTAACTTTTGGGAAGTTGCGACGATGAATATCTGATGATACCATGAAATCTTTTTGCTTGTTAAATATTAAACCGTAGCTATCTATTTCCTCTTTCAGTGTAACTCTCGATAAAACAAGCTTGTATGCAACCACTTTGGCAAAACCACATGTTGTTGGACCAATAATAGACATTTCAAATCGCAATTTAAAAGTCAATATGGCTATGTTGTACACTAAAGTTTTATATAAATATAATATCATACATTTTATTATATACAATATTAAATGTAAAATTACATATAAGATTATAAATGATATTATTAATCTAATAACATTCATATGAATAATCGCACATAACAAAAATAAAATAAAGAATTAAAATTTTTTTTCGAAAAAACTAAATTTTTTTGTAAATAATATTTTGTTTTGAAATTTAAAATTCTTCCCGCAAAATCTATACTCAAATAATTACATAATAAATTTACCGAAAATTATAGCCGAGCATATAGCGGAAATATAAAACAACCGAGCCTACATTTCCTATACATTTGTCATTGGCGCAGCCAAACCATAAATAATTTATAAAATTGTATTACTTTTTAGTGAACACGACGGAAAACTGTGCACTAAAAGTACGTGACAAACGTTATCACTTTTATTTTTGTACTAAAAAAAGCAAAGTTTTATTATTGTAAAACAAACAAAAGAGGGTTTTTATTTAATTTTTGAACTCTGTGTCAATTTAAAAGACTTTGTCACGATGTAATTGTATGTGTCGAAACTCAACGGATATTCTTAGGCAAAATTTAGCCAAAAACGAGCGCTAGTATCTGTGCGCGGACAGGTTTCGTAGTTAATATTAGCTACTTTCTTATCTTGTAGGTTACTTATAAAATATATTTTTTATATGCATCAAATAATTCATCAAAAAATCTTTCCAACGGTACCAAATATGTTGCATGTTGTTTAATTTTTAAACGAAATATCAAGTATAGCATAAACACAGTTGTTTTTGAAAAAAAAACCTGGTTTCCCGCCTTAGTTCACTTGAGATGCCGAAATCCGCATAAAATCCCGTTCATCAAAATAAAATACTGTCCCACGTTTTTAGAACATTGATCTTGTTGGTATGGTTGGATGGTACTTTCTTGTCTTATTTTTTTGATTTTGTTTTTGTTTTTGATTCAATTACGTGTTTTAAAAAGTAATCAACATTCATTATTATAAGTTTTTTTTATTAGTTTAATACTCTTTAAATTATAATCCGTTGATATCATAAAACTATGTTGTAGTTTCTGTGCCCAGCAA